TGGACACGTTCCCGTGCCTGTTCGACCATGCCCGCTCCTGAATTAATCATGGCATCGTGAGCCGTGGCTGAATCGATAGTGTTCCGTCGCGTTGTCTGCACCTCACTGCGGGCTCAAGTTGCACCTCTGCGGGACAGCTAACTTTGACTTGTTCATCTTATTTAAAACGTTTTCAGTTTTTGAAGAAGAGTACTATGGTGATCTTCAGTGTCCGATGAAGATCCATGCTGCATGTGCAGAGTTTAATGATTAGATGCTACCAGCAGTATTTTGTTAATCTGTTTCATGACGGAAGTTACCTTAAAGATGCACAGCCACATTGACTGTCATTTAAAGATACTGATCACGTTGATGTTTACTCTGTGCTGGTCATCCCCTTGAGACTCACACTGATCACATTAATGTTCACACCATGCTGGTCACCCCCCTAAGACTCAGACTGATGTTCACACCATGCTGGTCACCCCCTGAGACACAGACTGCTAACACTGATGTTCACACCATGTTGGTCACCCCCCTGAGACTCACACTGAGCACACTGATGTTCACACCATGGTAGTCACCCCCCTGAGACTCAGACTGCTCACACTGATGTTCACACCATGGTAGTCACCCCCCTGAGACTCAGACTGCTCACACTGATGTTCACACCGTGGTAGTCACCGCCCTGAGACTGCTCACACTGATGTTCACACCATGGTAGTCACGCCCCTGAGACTCAGACTGCTCACACTGATGTTCACACCGTGGTAGTCATCCCCCTGAGACTCAGACTGCTCACACTGATGTTCACACCNAGTCACGCCCCTGAGACTCAGACTGCTCACACTGATGTTCACACCGTGGTAGTCATCCCCCTGAGACTCAGACTGCTCACACTGATGTTCACACCATGGTAGTCACCGCCCTGAAACTGCTCACACTGACACTCACTCTGATCTTCACACCGTGCCGGTTCTTTCTGAAGACTCACATTGTTCACACTGACTCAAACATCCCTAAAACAGGCCTCTGTTTTTCCTGACTTCCCTGGGGAGTCGTCTGCTCAGTGCTGCTCCTGTGGCCCAGTGTCAGTCATCCTGGGGGTGTGCATTTACATTCTGGCAAGCAGTGTGAGTGTACACACACCAGACCCGTGCAACACCCCCCAGCTTTTTCCCGCAGCCACTCTCAGCATTAGCCTCATCTGTGGAGCCTCTGTCTGCTCCAGACTGCATGCAGTTGTAAACATTACACATGAGGGCTATTTAGGTATGTTTGGACTCCTATATGCTTTCACTTTCATTAACTGGCACCAATATCTAACATAAAGGAACATCTTTCACATTTTTCTGTCTGCCCACTGTCAGCTTCATAGACAGCTTTGAGGGTGTCACAGCTTACATTTGTTGGAGAGCCACTCAGAGTTGATCTGTTCAGCCTGCATTTTCTGAAATTGTCTTGTCCAGTTTCCTCCTGCAGTCCATACAATGGATGGAAGGATGGATGGATGGATGGATGTTTCATGCATAAATGCACCTTTAACAGTGAATTCATGTGGATTGTCCTGGAATGAGGTTAAAACAACATATAGAAGCAGAAAGAATTACGTGAAGGCTCTCTGCAAGGGGGTGAAAGTGCTTAAGCAAGATTTTACTTAATACTGGTTTGTTAATATTGCAAATGCCGTCAGCTCTCATTTGAAATCTGTACACACATAAATAATGGACAAGCCTGCTCTTCTAAATCTGAAATCCACAACAACTGAGTGAATCCTGAGTGTTGTCATCTGAAATCCACACAAATCACAAAAGCTATTTGTTCTCATCCAAAATCCACATAAATCCCAGTCTAACCTGTTTATCCTTGTCCGAAATCCACACAAACCGCGGTCAGGCGTATTAATTCACATCTCAAACCCACACAAACCACGATCAAACTCATTAATTCTCCTCTGGAATCTGCACAAATCCCAGTCAGATTTACTGGCTCCCACACTGACCACACTCGCTGAGGTTGAAGCCGGCCTGCTCTCATCTGGGCCTGATGGCTGTCACAGCTGAACAAACCGTACCAGCCCTCATCTGGCACCCACACTCAGTTCAGCCGAAGCCGCCAGCTGTCATCCTCTGTCCGGCCTTATCAGGGTCCAATCCAGGATAATTTAACAGGATAATTATTTTCACGCGCACACACACAAACACACACACAAACACATTTGTATTCACATCTTTGTCGGGACAATTCATTCCTGTGGGAAAAACACTAACCCAACAATGAGAACACCCCCCCCCCCCAGGCCTAACATTACCCATAAGTAACCAAAAAAAATAAAAGATTTCTGGAATTTTCATTTTTTTGAATGCAGTCACAGATTTAAAAAAAAACTGAGGTTCCCCTTGTGGGGACTGAAAAAAATTCCCCCCATAACATGAAAATAACAGGTTTTTATTACACATCAACTTATCAACATAATACATACATAACTCCCTTACACACACAATTACTCATCATAGGGAATTTATAGACACCAATTCCCCTAATCCACATGTCTTTGGGTACAAACTGGAGAGCCAGGAAGACAGAACCACACGTGCTTGCAATTTCAAACCCTCTACCCCAGAGGTATGAGATCGCTCTGCTGCCCAATGAGCCACCATGCAGTTCACCACATGTCATATAATAAAACAATACTAATAATAAAGCTATTGGATGGTCCTATGATTGGCCATACATAGTATTATTTACTGAAATTGAGAATTCATCCATCTTCCAATAGCTTATCCAGAACAGGGTCATGACAGAGCCAACGATGGAGGAAAACTCTGGATGGGATGCCCATTGAATTTGAAAAGAACTTATTATATTTATAAAATTATAAGCCACTCTGTCATAACATGTAAAAGCAGAGAATGGGCTTCCAGAGCATTTCCTGTAGATCTGTCGGAAAAAGATTCGCTCAGAATACCATTACGTCAGGATGACATCTGTTCTTTCCTCACACAAGAAGCGTCAGTCGCTGAAGCAGTTTCCCAGTCCTGCATTCTGTCCCAGCATTATTAATGCCGGGGCCAGCTGGGGAGGGCTGGCGGACTTTCTGGCCTGGGATACGAGCCCTCCTGTGGGAACCGTCACAGGATACCGAGGAGAAGACGCATCTTGATTATTGACAGTCTAAGACCCTCCGTTGATGTTCGGCGTGAAGGTGCCAACATACAACATTGTCGCATAAGCTTACAGGTGAATTTTTCATCATATTATTTGCTTTTGGCCGTATTAGTGGCACCGTCCAGCTGCCTGAAATAAACACAAAATAAATTAAACAAACACATATGACTGTGACCCTGATTTCTGAACCTGAATTCCAGACCTGAAGTCATGTAACACTGTAAATAATTACAACAAAAACATTGCTAAACAGGTGCACTTCAGTCTTCAGCCTGTAAGTGTGTGTTATCCAATTTGATGTGAGTTGTAGATTTAGAATGTATAACTTTACTGCTTTAACTATAATGTACAGAAGATTAGTTTCAGGTAAGGCTGCCATATTCAATTCCAAATGCTGTCCAATGTCAATGCGAATAACTGAATAGTCTGACATTAACCTATAAACAGATCACTTTTCTGCTCTGTACAGAAGGTTGGACATGAACTCCTAAACACAGGTCCCAGCAGAATATAAGGAACGGTCTCACGTACTGCACCAGGAATAACAGCATCATACTATTGCATCTTCCTGACCAAAACAGTGAATTAATTAATGACACACAGATGAGAGTAGAAGGTGGGGCAGCGAAGACTGTGCCACGAGGCAGGAAGTCCGCTCGGGCTCTCAGGAAAGCATAGCCTGTCCTGAGAAGGCCTTTTAATTCCTATCTTAGGCGTCCAGCAGCCGCGTGGGGGGTGGCACACCTGACCCCAAGCCGCTGATGCAGGAGTCATCTGAGCAGCCTTAATGTGCATGCAATTAGGTCATTATATCGCCAGATGGTGGTGACATAGCTGGACGAGTATGTAACTGTAAGCTCCTGTGGGCTGGCTGTGAGATTTACACTAAACACATTTGTCAAACGCCCCCCCCCCCCGCAAGATTTCCCGTATGCAGGCATGTAACCTCTGTATGAGAAAGGTCAGCTCGATATGTTTATACAAATGTCAGCTAGCATGTGTTAGCACTATATTCATGTTTGATCAGTTTTATTTTGTTTTTGTTTGTAACAACACCTCCCCCCCGACTTCCAAGGGCTGCCCTGACGGATTACCCCTCAGGAACGATTGCCATGGAAACGCAAGGCTTCTGCCCGGGGAGACGTGTCTGTATCAGCACACGCTGCCACTGAACAACCAAAAGCTGTTCTTTCTGCTCTGGTGTTTTAATTGAAACCAGGCAGCCATACACTAAGGTAGTTACCCCCCCCCCCAGGCCTGAAAAGTCTTGTTGGACGGCTACAAAAGCAGACTGCCGAGTCTCTGGCTCCATTCCCCTTCGCTACGTCTCCTCATCCAGGTAAACGGGGCGCGATCCAGTCAGTCAACTGCAGAGAAAGAGGTTTCAAAGCCTCTCTGCCAGTCTAAGACTGTGTTTTACTTGGACCACCCCAACTTCACATTGCATTCTCTCTCAAGATAACAATTACATCTTGGGCTGTTTTATCAGTTAATTAGTTAAATTAAATTTGGTTTGATTAATCAGTACCAATTGCGAGTTAACTGCTACAATATAACACCATGACAGAAACCTTGATCTTTTGAAATCCTAAATCAATTTCTTATTAGCTTCTATCCTGTTTTACTGAAAGTTATTACACCTGTGGCAGTTGTGTAAAATACATTTTGTGAATAAATATTTTGTTATGATGCATACTTCAGATCATTGTGTTATAAAGAAAATGGCTTTAGTACAGAAAGAAGCACATGAACATCATGTCCCAAAGTGTGATTATTATAGAACAGTGAAAATAATCAAACTTCACTTCTAGGGAAAGGAGACTCAAATTCAGCTGAATAACAACAAGAGACAATTATGGCAAAAGCCTTATATTCATTCCAAAACATAACATTTTACCTGGCAGGCTGGCAGAAAAAAAAGAAGCAGAATCAAAAGGGAATACAGGTTTTTTTTCATGGAAGTGATGTAGTCTAATGAAAATCAATTTCCTTGATGCAGCTGAAATCCCTTTTGAAACGTGATATTCACTTTTAATAGTGCACATTCAGTATCATAGAATAATTTCAATATTTCAAAGCTTCAGAAATCAAACAGAACAATAAATACTGTACAAGATAATATCTAATATACGTTTTAAAAAAGCACAATATGATCATGCGGAGCAATACTGACACACATAACACCAGGAAAACATAGCATATCTTTACAACACATTACAATATGATGGTAGTTTATATTTACATATATCTTTATGTGTTAAAGTGCCTTTCTTAGAAAAAAAATAAAAAGTGATTTTAAAATGTGATACGTTATCACATACATTTCAAATGTTATTCCTGATGAGAGCTCTGTGGCATGATCTTTCGGTTCATAATAATCCAAACTAAATGCACCGTTTAGACACAGCTCTGCCCGGACAGGAGAGCGACAGAACATCCCCGTAAAGATGAAAAAGCCTGCAAATTGCATTTACAGACGGTTAAGAAGTGTTTGCCAAAACAGCACCAGGAATGTTTAAACACCAGCCGTCTCGGATTCCCACTGATCCCCAACACCTTCCTAACCAAGAAACCTCAGAATACTTCTCCCGTTTCTTAGGAAGTGTTTTCCTCCAATAATGTTCCCAAATGAGTATAAAAAAATGTTTGAATCGGACTTCTGGGCTCCACTAAACATGGTGCTTTCACTGGTCCATGTGAGCTCTGGACACATCAATGAAACACTCAAGGATACAATTCAGCAAAGAAAAAGTGTTTGGCGAGGACTCTGCTGTCAAGCAGGTACATATATCAGTATTTTTTCTGTAATAAAAACTGGGCCTAAGGCGGCTCACAAGGGCAGAGACGCTGGTGGCTCTTGAGTGAGGTATCAAGGGGGGGGGGGGCCCCAGAGCTGGGGGGGGACAACTGCTTTTCAAGACTGGCCAAAGAAAACAGAAGTGGGGAAAAGACATGTCCTCTCTCCCGGGGACAGGCGGTCTGCACCTCTCCTGCTCGCATTTGGATCCCATCCCAGGGCTGTTCTGGGGCCTCGGCCGGGCCCCTGGATAAAGACCGCACGCTCCCATGCTCTGGCCAGAACTCGTGCCGGTCTGCGTACATGTGGAAATTCGTACCATATTTTGGCTGCAGCAGCCTCTTTTTCATTCGCCGACCATTGACAGCCACACAGTGCATTTCACAGACACACAACGTGGGCACGCACCAGATAATCAGTTCTGCTGACTTAGGACTTCCTTAAGAAAGTCATTTTCCACGTTATTAAATCGAATGGAAAGTTAAACTGTTTAAATGGGTAGTCCTCTTCAGATGAAGCTGCGAGGCTGTTTAAAAATACAGAAGGGAGAACATTCCACATAAACGCTGGCTAAGATAGCCACTATCTGCAAGGGAGCGCATTTCCATCTTAAAATAACAACCTGCAAAAACGTGTCTCTTCACCCAGCACCGGGACTGAAGCAGATGTGGTTTCTGCAGAGCAATTTCTGCTGTGTCTCCTCATTCATGAATGAATAAAACCTAAATCTACATAAATACGGCTCTGGTTTAGTATTGGCACACAAAAGAAAAAAGAATTTTACACACTAAAATTGAGAAAAACCGTGTAACCACCACACATTTCCTAAGAGTGTATTGATATTTAAACCCACCTGACCTAATTGCGTTAATCACTTTTCGCTTGGCATGCGAGCATAAATGCAGATGTAACTGCATTTCTTTCGGCGTTTGTTCTGAGGGGTATAAACTGAGGTGAGGGACGGGAGCACATTCTGTACCAAAAAAAAAAGGTCCTTAGCAGCTTAATCCCATTTAAAATGCAGGCAAGTTCAGAACCAAATAAACATTTTAAAGGCCCTGAAAAGCAGTAACGCTCTATGCCTTCCGGAAAGCGTGCCCGTGATCGGGACACTGCGCAGAAGGGGCGGAGCCACCCACGGCATCATCCATCCTCATATCGTCGGTCCTGAAATAGCGTTTAATTCACCGCAAACTCTCCAAATAAATGAGTCATGGTGAAACTTTAAACGAAATAACAGGCTCTTCTCTCGTACTGTCAATGGGCCTCGGGGGGGGGGGGGGCAGCATTAAGGGAGGGTCACTATGGGGCATCAAACACAGCAGCAGCACTTTGAACACCTACACCGGGCCGTTAATGAGTAACACAGAGCATTCCTCAGCAAAATGGGCGGCACCACGCCAAGGCTCATGGGAACTCAGGGCGGCACTTGTGCGTTTCTCAGTACTCGCGCGCCTCCTCCAGCTCGTTAGCGAAGACGTCCTCGCGTGGGTTCTCCGTACAGCCCAGTCCGTTGTTGGGTGGCCGGGCGGCGTGGAAACGGCTCCAGTCGCCTTTGCACAGCACCCAGGGCAGCACGTCCACCTTGAAGTGCAGCTCGGGAGAGAAGTCGGAGCTCACCAGGTCGGGCGCCCCCGCACCCTTGCCCCGCGTCAGCAGCCGCATGTGTGCATCATAGCAACAGAGCTGTGCGGCCAGCGTGCCACTGTCGGCAGACAGCATGGAGCGCAGGCAGGCGTGTGCCGTGGGCCTGTACACCTCCAGGCGCTCCCGGGGTCCGCTGGCATCACGCCAGCGGTGTGCCCGCCGCAGCCGCTCGTCGAAGATGCTGACGGCGCTGTAGAGCGCCTCAGAGGGGTAGGAGCAGGGACAGCTGGGCAGCTCCGTCAGCACCTGCTGCAGGTACTTCTGCAGGAAGTCGCTCTTGCAGTTCAGCCATTTCTCGCAGCTGTCCACCTCTGCAGCAGATGCATTCCCACACAGAAATCCATTACCACCATCATTTGATTACAATTCGCTATGTCTAACTAACCGTGCAGCCTGCATTTTCACTTAAAGAGAAAATATGGGCCTTTAATACACAGCTGGTGATCCAAGTCAAACATTCATAAATAACAATATTGCTTTCATGATGAAGCAGTCAATCCCCTACTGATCCATACTGCCATATTTAAAAAATTCAGGAATCCACCGTAATTGTAAACTATCCCGCAGCAGAGAGCAGCTTGAGTGTGCCTCCCATTGCTCTGCCGGACGAATTACAGGGCCATAAGTACTGACTGGAGGAGCACGGCGTCCCTCGCAGCTGGGAGCCAGCGAGCGATCTGGCCAGTGAGGCAGCTGAGATGGCCTGGCTGATTGATCCCTCTGCCCCAGCATTACGTTAACAAACATACTGACCTGCGCTGACAAAGTCAGTGCTATTCTCAGTCTCATAGGGGATGAGCTCCGTCACAGCGTTCACATCGCCTGCAATGCAGATTACAGCAGAACATGCGGTCAGAGCATATCGGGATTCCCACTACAGGTAAGAGGAGACCACGTAAGGAGAAGATTATGCACTAATGAATGAATTGACCATAAATCTGTCGATTGAACCAGCCGAAGTCTCCTGGGAGGCCAATACGGTACCATGTGGCCATGGATGACACAAGAATGGACAGATCACAGACAAATTATGTTTTATCTTATAGCTGAGGGTTATATATTTGCCTTATACCTCCAGGCCATAGTGTCCTGTGATAGATGGCATCCTGCCCCTTGCGCTATTGCTTCGGGGAGAGGATGCTGACACATTGTCACCATGGACAAATAGATGGAAAGATCACCGTCATTTCATTTTTCATATCAATGCTGTATTCTTAACAAAAGAATCCAGTTTAACAGTACAAATAATCCAACCTCCCTCCTATCTTGCCTGGTGGCCATCCCAGGTAGCCCAGGGTGAGAGGCTGTGGCACTACCCACTTACCCACTATGAGACCCTAAGACAAATAAAGCACTGTTTATTAACAACGACATCAACCTAACCAGCTGGAGGGGTCCGAAAAAAACCTCACAAACATGCGTTCCAGTGGGAAATGAGCTAAACACACGGTAATCCCCAAATTATGCCTGCATTTCCTTAAGAATATCTCATACGGGTTTAGCATTACAAGCATGGATCAGCGAACGGCAAATTACGTCAGGATGGAGAAGAAAAAACCAGGGAAGATGTGAGACATGAGGTGGAGAATAGTGGGAGACAGTAAATGTGAGAGGGAGCCAATTAAGCCACATACACACAGCCAGACAGACCGAGAGACAGACAGGCAGAAAGACAGACCGAGAGACAGGCAGGCAGACAGACAGACAGACAGACCGAGAGACAGGCAGGCAGACAGACAGACCGAGAGACAGGCAGGCAGACAGACAGACCGAGAGACAGGCAGGCAGGCAGGCAGACAGACCGAGAGACAGACAGGCAGGCACAGGCAGGCAGACAGACAGACAGAACGAGAGACAGGCAGGCAGACAATGAGAGACAGACCGAGAGACAGACAGGCAGACAGACAGACTGAGAGACAGACAGGCAGTGATAGACAGACCAAGAGACAGACAGGCAGACAGACAGTGACAGGCAGGCAGGCAAACTCAGGTTTGTATTCGTATCTTTGTGGGACTGGCCATTCATTTGCATGGACACAACAATGACAACCCCTACCCAGCCCTAACCTTAACCACAAGCAACCAAACAAACTTGGTATTTTTAGTTTTTTTTTTACTGCATTCACTGATTTTTATAAGTTTCCCCTTGTGGGACCTGAAAAAATGTTAGAGGTCAAAGCAAACGGTTTTTATCACATTGTGCGGGACATTTGGTCCCCATAATGTAATAAATACATAACCTACACACACACACACACACACACACACACACACACACACAGGTATTCCTATACTTGTGTGGACCATCCCATTGTGTCTATGGGCAAAACCTTAATATCAATCACGACACCCTTTACCCTACCCAACCCTAACCTTAACCATAAGTAACCAAACAAAATACAAGACACTTGGCATAATTTTAGTTTTTTGATTGCATTCACTGATTTTTTATAGAAATAAGTTTTGTCTTGTGAGGACCAGCCTCCGGTCCTCACAAGGTGTGTTATGTCAGGGTTTGCCGCCTTGTGAAGTCCTTTGGTCCTCACAAGTATAGTAAAGCTGAGACACACACACACACACACACACACACACACACACAGCACCTGGGCAGCGCTCGAGGTCACATGTCCTGGATTCCGTTGCCATGCAGGCGTAACCGCATGCGCGGGTGCGCTTCTGGTTGCCTTGGCCACAGCTGACACTGCATGGCGACCAAGCGGTCCACTCATCCTCTTCCTCGTCTTCTGTGGGGGAGGAATGCAAGCACAGAGTATTGTGGGGGTGAGGAGGGGGGCACTCCACCCTTTCGCCATAGAACAATGTACTACCCTAATGTTATTTATTACGGATGTGCATCACCATCACTGAGGTGATGTGATACACATCTCGATGCACTGCCAATGATCAGATACATCAAAGTTACTACTGTCATACAATAAGTTTCACCCCTATTGCGGGGATGTGATTCGACACAGTGAGATTAAACTGAATGCGATGTAATGTAAAAGAATATGATGCTATGCAATTCAATGGAAAGATGTTAGAAATGCATCCTGAGTTCATCCCAAATTGTACCTGGTGCAACCGCATCATGAACTTGTGTCAGTGCAGCGATGCAAATCTGTCAGTCTTACCGTTACTATCATTTACCACAGACTCCTGCTCACATGCTACAAAAAATGAGCCTGAATGCTCTCAGCACCTTTAATTGCGAAACGTAGCTGTAAGAATAGCAAGAGAACATCGGAAAAAAAAAAGAGGCGAGATCAAACGGACGGAGCTATGCAGCACGGTGCCAGCTAATGTTTAAAAGCATCGGCGCATCGAGCAAAGGAGCCGTAAGAATAGAGAGGCGGACGATCAGGGCCTCGTCTCGACTTTATTTTCACAGCAGACTTAATGAGGCGTGACTGAAGTCACATATTTCCCAGTAAAACAGAGTCTCGCTAATGAAGGGAATCTCTCAGGCTCCACTCGGCTCGTAATAAATGCGCCGATGGTGAACTCTCAGCTGCAGGCCGACGCTGCCAACACAAACACGTCAGTCCAGCGCTTCTCTCCTCCACAGGAAAGCGAGCTGCGGTCCCTCACCTTCGCGCCCAAGCATGCTATCTCACACTGGGATGTTTCAGGGAGGTTGATGGCAAAAACACGGCCGCAGGGTCACGCGGGCATTTCTGTGTGGTCATCATCAGTCACCGGTTATGGCTATTAGTTTCCAGAGGGAGCGCTCCTGGAATATTTCATGTTTTGCCCATTCTGGAATATCGGGTTTATTCTTTTTTCGCCTTTGGAACATGGTTGCAAAAACTGTGCCTTATTAAATGAAATTTGATTACCTGACTGATTTAGTTGCCAAAGTTACCTTCACTCTCTGGATAAGTACACATATCATAGACAGCTGATGAAAAAGCCTTGATGGATTTTTCAGAATAGCGCCCCCTAGATGCCCAGTTCATGCATGCATGTAGGTGGCAGTGGAACCCAGTGAACACACAGCCAAGTGACTCTGCTGTGCAAATAACCTGCAGTGGCATCGTGTCTTCCAGCAATACCATTAGCTCAACAATAGTACCATCAGGTAATCAGGTAATGGTCTGAGATGTAACAGGGTCAAAATGAAGATGACTACAAATGTAAAGCCGGGAAGATTCCTTACTGTGAAGTTCATGACACGGTCAAAATGTTATTTCAGTTTTCATTGTTTTGTTTTCCTTTACAAACTGACATAAAGTACCTTATCCAATTCTGAATCTGGCTGAAAAAAATGTGGCCTCTGTGTTGAAAAACTGTCAACGATGTCAAGATACACCCAGAGAATGAGGAAGCCTGAGGAATAAGCGCCAGATCAAGAGAAGCTGCAGACTAATGATACCAAGAGGAGGAACGACCTGGAAGTTTCTGGCTTAAAAGAAAAGAACCTTGACAGCAAAAGTTGTCACAAAATATGGTGCCTTTAACATAATGTCATTAATGTTCTTGTTAGTGAAAACTTTGTTAACACTGTTATGCTGATTCTTTAACCCTTTTCTGTTATTGTGTAAAATAATCATCTAAATCCCGGAGTACTGTTTGATTTAAAATGCCCATCGATGCTTAACATATATGGCATCCAGATAACATTGGATAGAGGTGGAAAGTTCAGGTCCAGAAAGTACAAATCCAGACCAAGATTCTGTTTCAACCAACCAGTTGAGTATAAAGAGTCACATTCACAGAGAACTCAACTGCTTATTTCAAATAAAACCTTGGTCTGGTTTAGTACTTCCTGGACCTAAACTTTCCACCTCTGACACAGGATCATAAAGTCAAGCTCCTTGAAGACATGCATTAATGGTGCAGGACTACAGACCGCTCCGGTGTTGCACAGAGAGGGTGCCTGCGTCTCGACAGCAAAGCGTTTCAACTGCAGCAGGCTGAGCTCCCCGCATCCTGTGATCGCACTGCCTGCTCACGTTCTCACGCCGCCATCTGCGCATGCCGTAGGTTCATGTGTAAACACACGCGTGCCGGTTTATGTCTGCGTCATGCCGCTGTGTACACACCACGCACGCGAACGTGCTGCCTGGGAGGTCTGCTTACGGCCCGGTGGTGCTGACACGTATCGGCCCATTACAGACGGTCCGCGACTTAACGACTGGGCTCCGCTCTGACAGACAGGTTGTATGTTGAAATGGATGAATGTCGGAATAGGATAATCACACTGACTTTCAGGTGTGAGAATGAGACTGGGAGATGTGTGTGAGACTGGAATGGTCACGTTGCCATACAGTGCAGGACTTTTCTGTGGCAACTATTATACAGTGTACAGGACGTTAGGTAGCATAGCAGCACCTAGCATATAGCTGCACTAAATATTTTACATATGTTTACATTTTTTTTTTTTTTAACTTTGGTCATATGTGCGAGTCGTTGTAAGTCACATAGGTTGTAACACAGGGGCAGTCAGTATTCCAGTGTGAATTTCTCAATCAGGAGCAAGGAGCTGGTCTATAGTCATCCATGTTAGGTCTGTCTTAGTGTGTCTGTTAGATAGACATACAAGAGACCAGTAATTTTTCCACAGAGGGCTTCTGCTTAGCTAGTTTTATTTAGCGGCAGCAAAAAATTTGCTCAGGAAGTGTAAAATACCTAGACATGGCCGATTAATATGTAAATATGTGGAATGTGGGGCCAATTGAGGACCTCGAGCCTCCTCATTAAGCCAAAGCGAAAGTGAGCGCGGACAAAAATAGCAGCTCCGAGCCGCGTGCTGCCCATGGCCAATTCCTGCAGCGCTGAAGAGCATTTTCCAGTTTGGTGACCCCTTTTAATTTTTACTCGCCGCTCTCACAGGCCTGGACCGGAATTCAGGATGCTCTTTTTCCCCACCCGTCAAGGGAGGACAGCGAGGGAGCAAGAGAGGGAGCGAATGAGAGGAGGACAGAGCGAGGGAGGGAGCAGGAGGGCGAAAAAAACATTGTGGTTATAAACACGGCCCCGAAAGCCCCGGGATTCCTGAACAGGGTCGAACGGCCCCGTGGCGGAGTACGCGGAGCGACCAGGCGTCCTAAGGAGCCCCGGAATGAAAAGCGCAACCGAGCCTCTGGCTGTCAATCCCAGTGAGCCGGGGCTCCTAATCTTGCCTCTAATCGAGGGCAAATATGGGCCGTTTGTCCAGCTCCGGGGTCTCCGAAAGTGAGGGACCTGTGGGGGGCTGCACAATGGGCTGATGATGGAGTGTCCTCTCTCTCCATCACTAACGCGGGGGCCGTCCGGACCCCCAACCCTTCGCTCCCGTCCCATCCCGCCCTTCACTCTTTTCCTGATGGAGCATTTTTAAAAAAATTCCCAGCCGCTCTGAAAAGCCCTGGCTCCAAAGAGCCGACTTGAACCGGCTTTATGGAATTAAATTAATATCCAGCTTTTTTTTAAAAAAAAAAAAAAAAAAAAAAGCAGAGTCTTGTTTGGACGTGAAGCTCTCTGTAACACTCCAGCTTCCCAGACTCTCTCCTTTTAACCATTTTAACCATCTGTGCTAAAAACAGCTCAATGAGAAGCGTGACAGATGCTGAATTCTTCAGGAAAAAAAAAAATGCAGGCAGTTGATAGAAATCAGAAGCAGCCATGGGGGCGGACTGAGGAACGGCGCGTTCCCCTGCCGGCCTCCCGCCTCAGGTTCGTGAGACACCCTCCTGAGCCCTGCGCCTCCATCCTGGGGCCTCCGTGCCGATCAGACGGCCCTCAAAGCCACCCTCTGTTTCAGCCCCGGATCCAGCATCTCTGCCGTGTTGCTGATACCTCAGGCCAGATGTAACCATCTACAGAGGCAGTCGGATCTACAAAGGGGCCTCCTACACAAATAAACAGTCGCGTCCTCGGTGCCAGGAGGGCCCCGAGCGTCTGACCCCGACATGCCGAGCTCCCTGCTGACGTCGGCGTACGGCAGGCCTGACCGTGCATTTCAGTGAAGGGCGGCAGCCTCACCGTAGGTCTCCTTGGTGTCCCATCCCTTCCTCCAGCGGCCATCCCAGTCATCCCCGACGCCGCTCAGCACCAGCTCCTCGCTGCTGTCCTCCTCTGCGGTCTCCCCCAGGCTCGGCCGGCTCGAGTCCTCCTCCTCCGAGTCGGGGTAGCCCCAGAATAGGGGCCAGAAGAGTTTCTTGTTCCCGGGCAGGTCCACGGAGGAGGCGCCCCAGTCTCTGTGACTCTCCTCGTCGAGATCCATCTCCATGTCCGCCTGGGGGTTGTCGATGACCTCGATGGTGACCTGAAAGACCAGGAATGCCACTATTTGCACATCACAGTGTGAGTTGCACATCTTACTTTGTTCATCCTGCACCTTCCAATCTTGTGCTCTAGGACGTTTCTTAAATGCTCAGATATTTTGTAATTCATTAACAGAGCAGTGAAGTACAGCCCCTGATAAAAGTTTTTTCTGAATAAATGACAGTGAGTAACATCCCCATTGCACCATTACACTGGATAATCATTATTCTGCTACATGTCTATATAAATGAACTGCGCAAGATCCCTAATGATCAGTCTAACAGATGGAACCAAGAGAATGTCATTGGCTCTTATTATTACATGCCACTGCTGTAATCAAACTAATTTCTGTAAAACCAGAGAATACTGAAGTGATCTTACTAAGTGTTTATCTGACTCTTCCAGAACTCATGCCTGCAGGGAGTACTTTTAGTGATCACTAGCCCAACGTTTGATCGCCTTAGGGAACAGGATTAATAACAAAAAGCGAGAGCAGTGAGTTAGCAGCCAGGGAAAGACATTTCTCACCATATTTGATGCATGAAAGCAGAAAAACAGCACGGCATGCTGGGTATTGGGAAACCCTACTGGATCTTCCCACACGAGACAGAAAACTTCTACTTCCCTGCTGTATCTGAGTCTGGAGCCTACAAGATGGCCTATCTGAGTCTGCGAACAGTGAAGATGTTGGGGCCAGATCCTCTGCAGGTCTGCTCTGTAAACTAATTTCTCTGGCAACTCACGACCGGCACGACTCAACACGCCTTGCAGACCCGCAGATAACAGGCAGCAGAGATGCCATCGGGACGCGCAGAAAGGTGCCTCTTTATTTTCCCCCACGGTATGGAAATCTGATGGCAGCTACAACTGTTTACAAAGTCAAGGGAAGCAAACAAAAGTCTCTGGCTTCTCCCACTCGCCGCGGGAGCGTGTGGGGCAAGAGCCGCCTGCCATCTTCGGTGAGCGGCATCCCGACGCTGGATGTTCACCACATAAAAACAAAGGTACGGTCTGCAGGATTCTCGCTGACGGTCAACAGCTGGACGCCTATCAGCACAGAGGGAATGCAGCTGCACAAACAACAAGCCATTAGTGGGGGGAGAGCATGGTGTATACAGACTTGAAGTGTGTGTGTGCGTGTGCGTGTGCGTGTGCGTGTGCGCGTGTGTGTGTGTGCGCGCGCGTGCGTGTGTGTGTGCGCGTGTTTGTGTGCGCGTGCGTGTGCGCGTGTGTGCGCGTGTGCGTGCGCGTGTGTGTGTGCGCGTGCGTGTGCGTGTGTGCGTGTGTGTGTGTGCGTGTGTGTGTGTGCGTGCGTGTGTGTGCGTGTTTGTGTGTGTGTGTATGCCTGATATCAGCTGATTCTCAGGAGCAATCCTTGGAAAGCAGAGTCATGTGGGAAGCAGGAGAGTCGAAAACAATCAGAAATGTGCTTTGCTGGCTGAAGGAAAGTTCTGGACTCGTCCCTCTTTGTGAAATTACCCCTGGCCGATGCAGGTTCCACAGACCATTTTAATAATCCATAACTTGCATGGCCGTGGTGGAAAACGCCAGGAGTTACACTAAAACATGCCCCGTTACACTCTGATGACTCATCCAGGGTACGAGCTGGAGAGATCTGCTCCCACAAATAGCATGCAGACGCTCTGTTTATTTCCTATGCTATTCTGAGGCTTCCTTTGGCACCACCTTACAATGATAACAACAATTTTATAATTTTATCATCCATTTGTTTAACTCCGGATACAGGTTCAGAGAAATTCTGAGGTTTTCGTGTATCTCTTTGTGACTCCATGACTCACATAAACGAACACACACACACACACACACACACACACACACACACACACAAGCGAGAGCAGATAGAAATATCAGTGATCCAGGCCACCATATTCTTGGTACTATGTAAAGCGGTTTTTAACAAGTGGGCAGGTCTCATTGAAAAGTCAATGTTTGGATTGCATTAAAATCAACGTAATGAATTAAAGGAATGCAGAATATTAAATTTTTAGAAACCCAGCAGGACAGTAAAACATTACTCGGAAACTCTATGCCAGAAAACATCAACACAGCAATATGGAGAATACAAGGTGTAAAGGTTCCTGTAAGATTTATAATAAAGTAATGATGACGATATTGAGCAATCATCTCACGGAGTTGGTTGCAGGTGCTCCAGGAAATGAAAAAAATGTGTGCCAGGTAGCACCTGTTTAGATAAAAAAAAATCCATACCTCAGCTATCCATTTCAATTCCTACCTGAATGTTGGGATTCTGGGAACTGAGGTCCACATTCGCGAGATCTGGAAAATTCTTCAGATCCAGGATGAAGGGCTCCGACTCTTCTTCGGGTTCAGGCTTGGGCAGGTGCGGAGACCACCTCTTCTTGTGGTTGAACGGGATGGTCCTTACCTGGTTGTGCTCTTGCATGGCCTCCAGGTCCTGGAGGATGTCGATGGAGGGTGTCTGGGCTTGTGCCTGATGAGAATAATGACAAACAAACAGACAAGTATAACAGAAGATAGATTAATCCAGGCCAATCTGCAAGGACACTACTGGAAGAAAGGGTGTATTTGGTTATTAGGCATCAGTAACTGAAGGTCTTATTTGCCCCGCTGACAGTAATCGCTTGGCTCTGCTGGAAAAGCACTCTGCTGGATTTGCAGTACACAAGCTGTCAGAGCTTCCATGTAAACCCGCACATAGTGAATAGTTGAGAATTTCCATAAATTCTCTTGTGGGAGTGGTTTGTGGCTCAGTGGGTTAGGACTGTACACTCACTGGAAGGCGAATCAGTTCAAATCCTATGGTCAGCAAAGCGACTTCACCACTGGGGCCTTAAGAATGGCCCTTAATGCCCTATTGCTCCACGCACTGACTGACACTGCACTCTCAACTGTACAATCACTTTGAATAAAAGCTTCTGGTAAATAAACAAAGAAATAAAATGTGAGGAAAATACTGCATGCACCTGGAGTAAAACATAAGACAGAACACGTGGTTAGAGTTGTGTGCAGTACTCTACAAAGAACCTGGAGACAGAGCTTTGTGACGCTTCACCACGAAATGATTAAACCCAACAGTATGTGGTCCTGGATTCTTTAGGCCTACCTCCTCCATCTACAGAGATATCTGCTTGGATAAACTGGTCATCATCATAACTGGATCATCAGTTTGTTGTTGTTATGGTGGTAGAACTTTCTGGAACAGGAATTCAAATTTTGCTCTATGAATGAACTGCCTGGTGGTTTACTTCAAACTTCACACTGGTTTGCTCCAGTCGAGACAGCCCTGAACCGCGCTTGCGCTCTCTCTCTCTCTCTCTCTCTCTCTGCCCTTTTACACCTCTGTCACACAGCTAACAGTCAGTTCCTACACAGAATATAAGTAGTATTACTGAGGCATTGGAAAACTTAGGGCCACAGCGAATATGCAACTGCCACTGAATTCAGAGAGATTGAGCCTACCCAACAAGTTTTCATGTAGAAAAATCATACAGGAGAGGTTTCAGCACCTTATTTTTTATTTAATCCATTCACTTGAGTTGCTTTAACTGCACCTTTTATTTTAATTGATATTTTTGACTGTTTATTGTTACTTCAATTACAATTATTTTCTTCAAAATAAAGACCAGATCTGAACTCGCATTCGTTTTATTTAATTATAGCTCATCCATGGGTTATGTTACGGTTTGGACCTGATCTTTGTTCTTTCGATTACTGCGTCGCTGACGAACTCCTGTCATTAATCATCTGAGTGAGGCGTTTTAATTTTTTTAAAATTATCTTTTTATTACTTGTGGTCCGCAGCCTTAATATATTTATTACTTTATGTGAAGTTTAAGTACGAAACATTATTTATGATTATTATATTAGGCTGGAAACGCCAAGCTCACCGCGACGCTGCTTTGGATAAAGATCTGGAAAAAGCAGATGGAAGGATGTCAAGGCTGTGCTGGGGTAGGTAGCCCCTCCACCCCCCCCACTCTAAAATCAAACCAGTTCCCCAGGGGGTGTTTACCATGTCATCCCGTGCCCCTTCCCTATACGTTTCTGGATCGGGATTTGAACACCACCCCCTTTCTCTGTCTACCAAGCCCGGATATTGAACATTGAATGTTATTGAAGCATGTAATTTGAATCTGTCTCTATCCCCTGCTCTCACTCTCCCTCACAGCAGAGGCTCCAATCAAAGGCGCCCATGTGGATCCAGCCTGTACAGTATCTCTTACGTCGGCCGCTCCTATGACGCCTCACCCCTGAGAAGCGAGGCCTTCAACCCGGCTCTGATTTCCTTTGTTTCATGGACGCATCACGGCGATGGGAACAGGGCATCAGAGACAACAAACCATACTGCTTGAGTCTTATGTTAGAGAAACGGTCTTACAACAATAATTGCAAGGCTTCACATCATAAGAGGGTCTTTTTCACAGGAACACCGCTGACTGCAAGATCCTGCAATGTCTGAGGCTGAACCACCTTTGTACAAAGGTGGACACCTTATCCCCGATGCGATATTTACAAACAGAAAACAAAGGACAACAGCAAACAGTAAGGCTTCAGGCACCACCACAACCCTGACAAGGATAAACAGTTGGAAGATAGATGGATGGACTGATGGATGGATGGATGGATGGATGGACACTAGCAAATACAGGGGACGTAGCACATGAGGCCTGACTTGCATAGCACACATTCAGCCCTGACAAACAGAATACAATGGAAACACCCTACCCATAATCCCCCTGAAAATGATTCCATGCTATTCAACTGGCTTCAGTATTGCATACAGTAAATGTTTTATTGGCAGTGTTTAGGGTTGCACAACAGTAGAGGCTAGATCTTCCAGTCAGAGCAATGCATTTCCTTTTCCATCATCTAAGCTCTTGTTAGTGTACTATGCTGCCACCAGCTCAAAAAAATGAATCTGGTACATCACCAGTGAAGGAGTGCGGAGAGTCATCGATGAAGGTGGCACAGGAGGCTAATGCCAAACAGACTGCTGCAGATCATGGGTCGTGTGCATATTTTTGTACTAGATCACTGATTAATTGCAACATTTCTTAGCACATATTTAATCTGAAAATCGATATTGCTCCACAGTTTAAACTCTGAATAACAACTTTGATGTCTTGGGACTAAAATAGTTTAGTTAAGCATCTGCAGTCCACATTGCAGAATCATATTTACGCATTTAAACTAGATGTGAATGTCAGGTGAATATGCATTTCTCAATTACCAGGCAGGGTCCCTCTGCCTTCGCTTAAACTGAGTACAGGATCAGAGGACTGAGCTGAGCTGCCTAACACGTCGAGACATCAGGCTACTATGCCTGCACGATATCTCAAACCGTATGTGAAGCTTGTGTCACGAAGCATTACATTACAGAGGCTAAATATCGACACGGGCAGCAGCACACTGAAAACTCATTCATATGTAACACGCACAGGTCAACATTTCTTAGCGTGAAAAGAAACATACGTCTTCCCGTCTGGCAGAATATTCATTAGGATTTCTCGGAGGCACGACAGCTGGGTTCGCAGCATGTGAGATCTTAGATACCATCATTTATATGGTCCTTCAATATGCATGTGGTTCCTCTTGTTTGGATGGTGCATTTTATTTACTTGTTTATCTATCAGAGTACTTTCTGCGGTGTTTGGTAATTTAATTTTACCGGATTCGAGATGAATTGCGACAGCCTGCGGTCAGCTTGTGGCTCTGGGCGGATACAGATTAAAACTATCATATTGCAAGCAGTTTAGGAGAGATAAAATCTAGAATAAAAACTCTAACCACTAATAACACCCTCCTTCTGCATTTGGGGGAAAAAGAAAAACTTTAAGGCAAAGGTTTTTGGATGCAAGGTCAGGCTGACCCTCAGGGCGTTACAGACTAGCAATAAAAAACAGACAACAGAACATGATGAAGGGAAATTAACACCTTCACTAATAAAGCTCCAACACCTTCATACCACTAGAAAGGCCATAAATATGGAGGGGGGGGNGGGGGATTTAGAACAGTCCAGGTTATATATGTGTTTGTCTGCCCCTCCAGTGCCCCCTACAGACCGGCAGGTAAGACATTCGTCTGCTCACTCAGCGGGTTGCTTGTGTGGTGCACTATGAGTGCAGCACAAGAAGAACGAGGCAAGTTTTGAGCTTTTCAGTCTAAAGAGATAGATGCATTAATGGGAGTCAATGTTCTATCAAGAATTGCCATATATTTATCTGTCACCAAAGTGCCTGTAGGGGGCGCTCATACAGCATGCCATCCAGGTAAATAATGTACCATTAGAAATTAGGAATAATGAGCACTGCCAGGTAAAATTTATTATTGAAAGATATAAGGTAGCATCCTGCTTTAACAATGTTAGCAAGATGCATGTTTATATAATTAAAAATGTTATCAGCAGAAAATTAGAGTATACCCAAGCTATATGAGGAAACTTCTGACAACTTAATGCACTGTTGCTGTTTTCCATTTAAGGTCACCCAGAGAAACATAAATGCATACGAATTCTTCTGATCACACTGATCATAACTGGCAAGTTTTTATACACATCGTTGCAAGCCTTTCTTGACAAAGCATTTGACATACCTTACAAACCACAGACACACATACTTCTTTACATTGATGGGGCCCGTGAAAGAAGATCTAGTACACTCGGCCCAAATCCCTTCCCCGTCCTTAATTTACTGATGGATGGTACCCCGGCTACTTCAAACAGGTCTGGGTCCCGTCTGTTTCTCCGGCTCTGCACGCTGCCGCGCAGTTTAAATTTATTGCAAGATCAAAGCCGTTCGGCCTTGATACAAAAATGTAGGGCATTAAAATGAGCTCTTTAGCAGAGCAAAGAGACATCAACAAGCTAGCGGTGGGAGAGCCTTCTCCATCGCATTCCATCTTGTAATCCTCATCTCGCAGCAGCTTATGGAACAGAGAAAGTCCTGACACAGCCTCGTCCTTGCAGAGATCGATCATCGTCAAGATACTTTTGCAAAGAATAAAAGATCAAATAAGCCTGTTGGAAGATGTGTAAGACCCTTCCATGTTCTGGACAGCTCCTCTTCTGAGAAGACAAGCCAGTCTGGTTCCACCATGAAGAAGAAGGATGTGATGGCACTGACCAAAAGGTGCTCAGACTGGTCTGGGGGTTTCCATCTGGGAAACTGAATCATTTTATTGGATTTAGTAATCCCTGTTATATCAGATGATTGTAAAGATTTTTTTTTTTTTCCAAAATATTATCCATAATTGGATTTATGATGAAGAAATTGAGGTTCAGTAACTTTTGCAACATTTACATTGATAGACAGTCAGGCAGACCGACAGCAGACAGGCAGATAGGCAATATTCCTTCTTGAAATTTTATCTTTCATTCATTGTTTTCATATAGGTTCATTCTCCTTCAGAAAATATCTACAACCTCCGTCTACACAATCAGCACCACTGCTCAACTGAGTAGACACTATTCAGTAATTTCGTAAATTTACACACTTTCCTATCTATTCACAGCAGGCACTATGACTAATTTTCCTGGAAAACTTCTGCTTTAAACTACCCTGAGCAGTTTCTAACCCTTGAGCGGTATCCCAACTTCTACAAAGCTGCAAAACCAGATTAATATGAGCAAAATGTGAAAGTTTACTCCTACGTCGCAATACCTTTATTCGGTATGAAAAATTACGGCTAGTTTGGGCTGTACGTCCCCACTGCTGGGTGGATCTTGAGCTCCCATGTTTAACCATGAACCTCCAGATACACACAGAAAAGGCAGCGCTAATCCTGTCACAGTCCACAGTATCTCCGTCTCCGGGGAAAATCTATTTCGTGTTCAGCAGTTTGGAGGAATGCTACACGGCAAATTAATAGTTTCTATTCATTTAAGCACAGAGCATTTCAGTAACTAATCATCACTGTGTCATTAGTGACTGTCCCAGTCCGCTTAATGAATGGTGAATCCAGCCCTTGGCCATGACATTACACACACTTGGCTGAACAGCCGGAATGGTACAGCATGGACAGGGTACAGCACCGACATAAGTCAGTAAGAAAGCCGTAAAATCACCTTCTGGGACACCTCTGGGAAGGGGGTAACCAAACAAAGCATTACAGCTACAAAAACATATCCCTTCTTTATCAAAAATGCAAAAAAAAAAGAGAAAGAAAAACTAATGCAACCTTATTCTTTAACCGCAAAGGCGGCGTGAGTTGATCCGTTACTTTGAACCCATTCCATTTAACTTGCATCCTGCTACAAAATTCACGATCAGATCTACATAGAAAGTAGGTCCAGGTGTCACAGGCATCAAAAAGCTCCGCGCACTTCAACAAAAGTAAGACTTACCTCCACGATGGCAGCGGCTCTGAGCACCGGGGTCTTCTGCGCTTTCTTGGTGGGAAAGCCTTCGACTAAGCCGAAGAAAATTGCCACTGACACCGCCAATCGGACCAACATCTTTCCTCTCACTTAGCGTATTTCTCTTGGGGGGGGGAAAGTAAATGACAAGAGATTTGGATTGTGTTTTAAATCGTGCAAAGCCGTTTGATACAAGTCCACAGCCAGCGATTTTGGCCCCGGAAATCTTTACTTTATTGATACGAATTTTCTGAGCACGTTTGCAGAATCTCCCCGTGTTTCGTGATGCGCCAAAGGGGGATGTTTAGTTTCTTGTTCTTAGAGGAGATTATGAAACACTAAAACGCCACAGGTCCTTCAGTAAGTCTTTTAAAAGTCGTACAAACTTGTTTTGTTAGGTGTTAGCGATCAAAGGGAGCGTCTTAACTCTCTCATCATGTCCCTTTACTTCTGCACGCCCAGAGTATGCTTCTCTCCCATCACTCCCCCATGAGCCCGACACTGAAGCCCCAGAAAAGTTTGCCCCCACAGGCAACGTGCTTCCTTTCAAACCAGCTCCTCTCTGTGGCACCGGTACAGCAGGGAGGTACGCGCGTGTCCGCCGGAGATGCAGTGGCTCCTCGCGGATCTGCCTCTAAGCGCGTTGCACACGCAGACTTCAATGTCCGCGCCAATACAAGTTCACTGCAAGTACCTCGCGGACTGGCTCCAGCTCCGCGTGAGACATTTTAAGTCCGCATGCTCCAGATCTCGTATTTCATTACGCGTGCTGTATCCAACTTGAATCCAGTTCTCCAGGCTGGTTCCGGATAGCGTCCTGCTGCAGTACGAGCGGTCTGTCCCGCACCGGGCTCCCCGCCACTGTTTGCAGTTTGACCCGGCAGCGCAGAACCTCATCGGCCCGTATGCCAGTGACGTTAGGAAGGAGGGGACCTGGAGATCGTGTTGCGGCTCAATTTAGGGATGAATGAAAAACCCATGCTGATCAAGGGCTGTGGAGGGAAGAGTGGAAATGATGACAATTAAAGTGCAATAAACATAAGGGCGATAGAGGGGCAGTGAGATGAGTGCGAGCTGAAGGTTTGCTGACAATCCTTCAGACAACGTGCCAAAGGCTCCCGAAAGTACCCGGTGAATGAATTTCTGCTGATGTACGTTTGGCCTTAACACGGAAAATTCGCGTCAAGGAATTTCGCTTAACTTACGCTTTAAAAACAACATTTAACTTTTAATGTCGTTAAAATGACTTCCCGTTAATACTTAATGACGAATGATTGCAAAAGCCTGCAGCGAAATAGGTAAACGCGTTTTAGTGGTTCTGCTTAATTGTAACCACAACGTGCTACACATTTGTACTAACGTATAAATAAAACTCGAGAAGAAAAATACATTTCATAAGTTTATAGTAAGCAAAAAAGTTTTTCGACAAATAGCCTCCCATAAGATTGCTAATGTAATTACATCTAATCTTGCTGGTGAACAACTACAATACATCTGTTTGAGGAAGAGATAAAAAATTAAGTATGTCAAAGTAATACATAAAGAAATAACCTGAACTCGCTAAAAACTTATTTCATAACCCCCGTCCCTTTTTTAAACATGAGGCCCCTGATTGCTACACAGACCTTGACAAGTTGCAGATAACCAAACAATTCGTTTTCTTTGTGTGATTTATTTACCTAATCATTCAGTATAAAGTAAACAAATAAATAAACTATTCACGTATGCAATGCTGCCCCCCTACTTGCTTCTAAGTGAATATACTGGTTCAGAGCTGGATATGGCTGCAAAATTTTAAATGAAAGACGTACTCGCGCGTAGAGTTTGGTCATTATTATTTATTTTCTTGGAATTGAAACATTACAAACAGTGGATTAACCAGTGCATACTTTTTCCTCACAAAAAGTACGTCCTTCGTTTGCATTACTGGTAGCAATTCCAATGCAATATTAGAAGAAATACAGGTATATTTCAGTCCAATAACCACACCTCGAGTCACACTGCAGGGCTTCGCCTGTATTCACTCTGTTTGAACATGGTCGTGTTGAATGTGTCATCAGCGTGGTATTTGTCTGAGCGTAAATATATGTAAAAACGAAATAATAATAATTAAAAATCATTTACACAAAACCCAGAACAGCCATTTGATATAAAAAAAAAACACAGAGCACGTGAAGAGGGGAGAATGGAATGACTAGTATCATTCATACGTGATATATCTTAATGTTCAGATATAACTTTTTCAGTTTATTTTAGATTCTCTGCGAGGTTTGAATTTAAAACTGCAGCATATTATATACGTATATATCCCATATATTATATGATATACAGATTTATAAACTTTTTGATGGCTTCTCTTGTAACTACCGAGACACAATTTACAATAAGATGCGATGGACGCTTCGATAGGTCCGCTTTACAAAAACCAGAAAATCAGACACCTGTATTTCGAAAGTGGCGATTAAGAAGCTAATCACGGAATGCATTCAGGTGTCAGCTATTAAGACGGATTGCGGAAAGGGCGATGTGCGGGACTCGGTATTTCAGCACCGTGTTACCGTGACTCAGCGGCGTCAGTAACTACATCATACATGCATTTTATTCTTAAGCGCCAACGCTGAAATGACACTTGTCAGTAGTACTTGCACTGTCCACTGAGGTCATGCACTGCCTGGACATGCAGCCGGTTTTAAAAAGGAATCAGGAGCTGCCTCTTTGAGACGTTTCTCATCCGAAGGATAAAAAAAGAAAATAGAAGAACGAATAAAAGAATAATAAATAATTATGTACACAAGTATTATCTGTGGGTAAAATACAATCACAAAAAGGCAGATGGAATATCAATGCTAATTGATATACATTCCTTCAGTTATTGAGGCAGACAGTACTACTACTAATAATAATAATAATAATAATAAAAAAAATGTACGGCCTTTTGGTAAGGGCAAAGGTGCAGATATGCATCTGACGTTCTGAGTGCAAGTGAAAAGGGAAAAAAGCAAAAAAAAAAAAACAAACAAACAATCTAGAACATTAAGACAAAGAAAGCACTGTGTGACCAAAGAGAAAACTCTTGTGTTGATCGTAGAGATTGCACTTAGCCCTTACTAGGGCCAGAAAAGTCATCTAATTACACTGACCATAGTTTTAGAACATACTGAAGGCCTCTCTGATAGTCATGCATGGTTATGCACAAATCTCGGTCAGGAATGGCCCTTGTAAGCCCATCTTGGAGTCACGCTCTGTTTGATATCCCCTAACATCAGAAAATAGTTTTACTAGACCAACATTTTGACTGGCAAGTTAAGATGCAGATCATGACTAAAACAAAGATTTTAAAAGTTTGAATGGAAAAACCCAAAATAAAACATGGAAAAAGGGTTTTCCGGGAAACATTCCTTCAAATATTATAACGGGTTGTTTTGTCTGTGTACTGATGCTGTGTATTTGCAAAAATGGTTATATTCAACTGGATGTCATTATTTTAGTTTTTGTATATTTAAGCCAAAGAGGTTTCAAGATATTACATTTGCACAAAATACAGCGAAAGTGATAAACAGGTGAATTTTAACTTCTAGTCATTAACAGGGTCCTTCAAGTGCTTTCCAAAGGACACAATGAGTTAAGGAAATGGATCCGCGTGATTATAAAATGAGAAGGATAAAACAGACTTCTGTTGTCCCTGCCTCGTCTTTACAAGTCGTGTGTGTGTATGTGTGTGTTAGGGGTGGGTATAAAACAGTGAGTGGTTCTACATCGTTCCCATTCGTCCAGGGCACTGCAGGAAAACGCCCCGTGCCCACTTTGCAAGGGGGAGGAGCTCAGTTTTCAATCCCATCGTATGAGGTGTCGTCTGAGGACCAGTCTGCCGTCAGCAGGGCCCTGTGCCTGGAGTACTTCAGCTGCAGAAGGTCCCCGACTTCGCTGATTGCGCTCAGTGCCTGGGAGGGCAGAATCCCAGGGTTAAGCACAGATCAAACCAGCATGGAGCAAAATATATATATATGCACATCCTCAAAATATCTTAGAGGAGCTATAGTTGGTGCTCTGACTTTGGGAGATGATACAGATAACTGCTAAATGTTTGGCTAAAGTGCAGGTCTAAGAACGAATCATTGATGTACAACAAGCATCATTTACAGTCTATGGTTTGATGACATCAAAAGAGGCCGGACCCATTTGGCCCCAGGCATACAGAGAGGGGGATGAGGTGAAGGTCCTCATGCAGCAGGAGGGAGGCAGACCACGCGGGACGGCAGCAGAGGACACCTACGCGCTCAGCGAGGCTGCAAGCCATGTGCGAGCAATTGGCCTTTTGTTCTGATCCGGTTCCACGAAGCATAAACCGTTTCATGAAATGATGTGTGGAAGAGAGGTCATGGAGGGAGCCATATGTATGGGACCTCCCAGGTACAACAAAGACAACCGCGTTCCAACGGTGACCCTCTGGAGGAACGGAGCGTGGCTGGAGGGCAGTGTGGCACCGTAGGAACGAACATCCTTGGAGGAGCCTGATTAGAGCCCCTTTGATCTCCTGCCAAAATGGCAGAAGCCTGAAACCTTCCCTACGTAAACTCGGGTGGAACACTGTAAATATATTAAGGCCGTACAGGGCCCGCCCGGTCCCCATGTCGCAGATGTAGATCTCTGATATTCTCAGAGCTCTTTCGGAACAGACCCTATGGTTATAAACACACATGGACGCGAGTCACCGTGAAAGACCTTATACAACTTCAACATAAAGCACTTGTTTATCAAATAATGATAAAAAAAGCTACATTTGCCTTAAGTTCACTTTATCAATGGAAAATACATTTCCATGATTTGTACAATTAAAAGGTCAAAACTAACTTGGTGGACAGGGTCTACCTAGACAAGCAATGCTGTTGAAATAAAACACCATGCTTTAAGTAAAAATGTTGTGAAGGAAATTCTTCAGAAATGTCAGTAAACCACAGAGAAAGCAGCTGTCATAGCTTGACCTGATAAGGTCCTAAATTAGGGCAAAGTAACAGCATCTGATCAAAGCTCAGAGCCTGGGCTTCATCAACACTGAGCGAGAAGCAAAGTGGTACAGAGGAGGGAACGCTGCGGCGGAATAAGCAAGCCGAAACCAGCCAACTCACCACGTCCAGCATGTCGCGCGTGTGGGCGGCGGACACACAGAAGCGAGCCCGCGATTCGATTATGGGCGTGGCCGGGAAGCCCACCACGACCACGCCGATGTTCCTCTTCAGCATCTCGCGGCTGAAGGCCCTGCAGGGAGAGACGGAGCGATCAGCGATGGAGAGGGCTGTGAGCTCCCTCAGAGGGGGGGGGGTAGTAAATAAGCATCCTATTACTGGATTGGGCTTAGGGGACATCAGTTGGTGGGGGGGTAGTCAGAGCTCTGCTTTTGTACAGTCTGACACAGTTACATCCAACATTCACATTTCACTCCCACTGCTCTCGTGTCTGTCTCTACTTCATTTTCCCTCCAATAACCATCAAAAATCAATCCATCCATCCCTCCATCCATTCCAGTCCAGGACCCTTCTGCTGCTAGGTGATCCCCAGTTTCCCAGAACCCACCTGGGAGACACAAACCCTTTAGCATTCCCAGATCAGTACTCTTCCAATAGGGTGTCCAGACGAACCTGTATGGGGGTTGTGGATTAAACGCAGCATAAGCCCGAGCGGGGGGGCACCCCCAGGTCTGCACCTACCCGATCTTGGCCGGCATGTAGAGCATAACGGGGACGACGGGCGAGTCGTTATTCCCGTAGATGATGAAACCCATTTCCCGGAGCTTCCTGCGGAAGTACGTTGTGTTGTCGGCGAGCCGCTGGATGCGCTCCTGGCCTGCCGGAAGAAGCAGGGAACGTCAGTATCCACGCGGCATTTACACTCTACCCCGGGGCACCGCGGAAAGAGGCATGGGGGTGGGGGCACAGATCATGGCCGCTGGCTGCCGGGATGGGCTTCATTTACACTCTACCCCGGGGCACCGCGGAAAGAGGCATGGGGGTGGGGGCACAGATCATGGCCGCTGGCACTCAGTCATACACATTATGGTTTGGCGCGAGTAGGTTGAAAATCAAATTTTAGCCATCCACAGGTAACATTAGCATGAACAAATAAAAAGGAAACGGCTCAACTTCAGCGCGGGAAGCGTCATCAAAACCGTCCATAAACATTTGTGCACCTATTTTCAACGGGACGTTTGCACATTTGGAATTCATTCCAAAGCCGCCTTCTCTCCCGATTACCCTCTGTTTTTCATTATAACATCCCAACAGGCTGTGCCAGGCTCCACAGCTTTCCCACAATGCCCCTCTTCGCACATTCGAGCTATATATTAGCTGCTATATGTAAGCCATCCTTTTACATTCCACACTCAAGACGGAGCTGGATGCCAAATAAATAAATAAATAAATAAATAAATAAGCAAATAGACAGAAATATTACTAAGACAACCCAAAGCCAAGAAACACAAAACACTAACGACATGTGCTGTCAAAGGGTGTATGACAACACGTCTGGAATAATATTCACGTAGCCTTCGTGTGGATGAAGGAATTCAGCCGGCTGCAGAGTGATCCGCTCACGGAGCTTTTCCAAGGGCCCGTTTTCACTTGTTTAACATTCCCTGCGCTCCGGAGAGTCGGATCAAAGGGGCCTCCAGTCCCTTGCTGCCCGAGCGCTTCCACGTCGGCCTGGTTACCGGGCATTGACATCCGGATGACGGGGCATCTACGTGTCACAGCACAGATGCGGGCGCAGCAAGGTCACGGAGGCACAGGCCTCGAGTGAGAGGGCGCGAATACCTCGCCGTCGCGTGCACGCACGCACGCATGCGTCCTGCCCTGGCGTGTTCCAGTGAGGACGCTACGCAGGTCAGAATGGAAGCGAAAACAAAACGGTCTGAGATATAAAATGACCTCAGAATGAGGCCTATTGAGGCTCAGGGCAGATTTTAGAACCAAGCGAATACATCAGTCAGTAAGAACCACAACTTTAATCACTCACAATATAACTGTGCATTAACCACACTGTGGGAAAATAATCTACTCAAAGAATTTCAAAAATAGCACTTTTAGAACATCTGCAACTGTAAAAAAAAAATACATTTTATATAAATTATATTTTATAAAATTGTATAATAAGATACTTTAACTCGTGTAAATTGTTCAGGGCACTGAAACCTGGCTGTGTAACAAATAGCCCTACCCACGTGCACCATCAGGTCACAATCAGGGACGACGGCCTTGTCAGGCGGCATTCAGCACAGGAGATAACAACTAGACGATCGTGCCAGAATGGCTACCGGGGGAAAAAAAGACTCCAAGACATATTTGAAAGGACAGTCACCGGAAGATGACTCCAGATGTGAGCTAGGGCCGGCAACGCAACTTCCTGTTCGGTTCTCCAGTGGGCTAGGCCCCGCAACATCACTTCCTGTCTGGTTCTGCAGCAGGCCAGGCCCGGCGACGTCACTTCCTGCCCACTTCTCCAGCATTGAGCCAAAACATCAAAACACTAAAACACTTTTCCCTTTGAGGGGTGCATCTGAAAGTAATAAAAATCTTTGGTGGGGTGAGGAGGGGCTTAAGGGTTTGTTCAAATTCTGATGGGTCCCGAAAGGGTACCCTCCAAAGTAAATCTCTACTGAGGGGGTGAGGGGTGGGGGCTGGGGTACAGGGTCACGCCCTCAGCAGTCAGTTTCACAATACACACTCTTAACGCCTTCCAGACACCGGCACTGGGTGAAGATTGAGAAAGAGAGACAAGGAAAGAGCTTCCAGATGTGGGGGCCGGCGTATCCCTTTCAAGCGGACGGCTCTCCCCACTTCCTTCTAATCTAGCAGGAGATGATTACAAAGGGCCGCGTTCTGGGGTCCCGAGCAAGGTAAATACGGGGTGAGAGCCCGAGGGTGGGGGCCGCGTACGAGTGAACTCGTGCAGAAGGACAGGAAGTGAGACTGGCAGTCACACAGCTGAGGCCACAATTCATCTTCTGGGCTCCTGAGCGTCCCCCGCCCCCCCCCCCCCCCCCACCTTTCTGACGCACGTTCAAAGCAGCCGTAAAGAATCTCGGCGGGCGGCCCGCGCCAGAGCGGCCGCATGTGACCCGCGTCGACACGCACGCCCGGCCCTGCTTCCCGCCAGCCTCCAGCTTCCCTCTCACCGACTATTTCTTCTGCTTCACTCGCAGCCACAGCCCTGAGGTGCATTTAGGGAGCGTGGGAAAACAACACGCTCCGAGACGCAGCGCTGTGCGTTTGTGCGTACCTCTCAGAACAAACGATTGCACTAAATTAGAACTGACAGCACAGTACTCTATTTAAACATAAGGAGGGGGGGCATGGACGGCGCCACAGGGGAAACGCGGTGTCGCTGGCGGTCGCCGTGGCGAGCATTGAGCTCGCCTCATGTGAACCTCAGTGGCTCTATCACACCTGTAATCTGCTTAACAGCAATCAGATCCAGAACCAGAGTTAATGGCTGCTAAAATCTGGTTGCTAAATCTAATGTTGCTAAAACCACCCAGGCCAGGGGGTGCGGGGGGGGGGCTACCAGCTACTCAAACCTCTAAAATGATGAATTATTTAATAACCAGAAGTAGTTACTGACATATTTTTATATACAAATACAGCTCCCCTAATTTCTCCCGAAACAATGCAAGCTTACTTTTTGGAATCGCAATGGCTAACACCACCCCCTAACCCCTCCCCCCTCGCTTGCTTAGAGCACGGTGACACTGCTGGTGCTGCAGACACCTCTGACAGCTGGGGGGGCAGATCAGCCTCTCGGAAGGGGCTCCCTTGAGACTTCAGGCCCCAAAGTGGGTCAGGGAAGGTGTCGGGCCCCTGGGGGAGATAAACAGGAAATCACTCTCCCCCGTGACCCCCACGTCGCACTCCGGGGGCCCCTCCCCCCAAAGCTTCTTTTTAACAAGGTGACCCCTGACGACCCCACTCTGCAGCGCCTGTCCCAGTTCTCACTGCAGACCCACAATACACTTCCTAGGCAATTAGCACCGCATTTGCTAAACAAGATGCGGTTTGCTTGCAAACCGTTAGACACGGGAGTGGGGGGCTTTGTCCATGTCTCGTCCCCCACATGCTAAAAGCCTTCCCTGTTACATGAGGAAGACCTAAGTCAAAGATGGCCACTCACCCTAGGCCCCACAGGTCAACATGGCCGCCACTCAGGGCCTCTGGTTGTGCCCCTCCCTTGCAGAGGGCTGCAACTGCCCACACTGGCCCAGTCAGTTTGTGTCTGCAATGTGAATGTATGTGGCACGGGGAAATACCCCAGCTCACGGTGCAAAAACACTCTTTCGCCACACAGCATCCTTTCGTCTTACCGACATACCCCACCCGTGGGGCAGGCTGCGCTGAAACTGGATATCACAAAGGCAAAAATCGGAGAGTGCATTCCCCCGTAGAGACTGAGGCTGCAGAGGGGGGGCATGGTGGTTAAGGAACTGGCAAGCAGGCTGTGGTTTTAAATCCCCACGGAGCCTGTAATTCCACCCTTGTAAAACGCACTTCGCTTACAGCAGAACTGAAAGCTGCGCAGCTGGAGACGAGGACGAGGACACAGCGGGGACAGAGCTGCCCGCAGCCGTCACTAACCCCGGCAGAGCGGCTCTGATTTAATCCCCTTAGGACGAGGACACAGCAGGGACAGAGCTGCCCGCGGCCGTCACTAACCCCAGCAGAGCGGCTCTGATTTAATTCCCTTTCCCGGCGTCTCCTTAGACGTCGCTTAACTGTGCACGGCCCGCGGAGCCTTCGCACGGTTTAACGGCCATCCACCTCACACTGCCCCCGCTGCGCTGGATTCCAGCCAGGCTACAGCAGTGACACCCCTCAGCACCAGCATCCACAGAGCCGTCTCCACCCCCCGCTTCAGGCTCATGGGGACATTATCAGATAAGCAGGGCCATCTATTGAAATCTGAGACCAGGAGTGTTTTTTTTTTGGGGCGGGGGGTCTTTATGGATCCTCAGCTGAAGGCCAAGGCATTGTGGGTATTTAACATACTTTCAGGCATGTTTACACAGCCCTCACTAATCCGAAACCCTGGAATTAACGGCTGCTGACAGCAATCGTGACGCTTATTTGCTTAGCATATGTTTGTTAGCAGTTCATATCTAATACCATATATTTAATAAATGCCACAGGAACTTCCTGTGGATTATACAGGTTTGATTACACTGACTGGTGTCAGACAGAGACTGGAAATATTATACGTATCATATTACGAGTAACTACATGAAGGTATTATGGGTACAACAAAGATAACAGAGGTTTCATGGGTAACAAAGTCTGATATCAACACTTCTGCAAGGAGGAACCCTTTGCAGAATGAGTGACGTTAAGCGAAACAAACTGATGTTTAAGGGGTCACCTGGGTAATTTCTTCAACAACCGATGGATAACACACTCGGCGAACTCATTAGTCATATTTATGAAACGCAAAATGCCAACATACAACAGATTGTAGCCAGAGTGTATCAGATATGAGGTCTTTGCGATCCAAATAGCATGAAAGATCTGTACTGCCATCTAGTGGGTGCAGAATTACTGGCACGGTACACAACACCCCACATTTGCCCCCACCACGGACACCCACAGTAATAAAGTCACAATAACAAGCTCCCCTGCCTTTATTTCAGACTCACCCACTGTGGTCCCATCTTCTCCCATGATGCACTTCATAGAAGTGATGATCTGTTCCACCACTGGGGGCGACATTGAGGTGGCGTAGACAGCACTGTGAGAGTGTGTGCGGAGGTAATCTATCAGCTCCTGGAGACACAGGGCAGGAGTGGATGTCACACAGCCGGGACCGTGACTTTATTACAGACCATGCACAGCGTGAGTCATGCTAATTCATCATCAGGGATGTCCACCCACATACAGCCCAGATTTTCGTTCTAGTGGACTTTTTGTACGTCGACTACTCGCATGGAATCGATACTCGGCTGATCTAGAGGAATATCACCGTTATACACATAAACCGAGTACGGCAGTCAACAAACATGGACAAAAATACTACGCATGCAGAAGTCAGTAGCAGGAATGTGAAATGGCATTTGAGTTTTTATAATATATTAGTCATTATTTGAAGAAATTTAAATTTCAATTGTACAATTTTATCACATGCTAGTCTTGGTCAGTATTAAGAGAATGAGGTATAACAAGATATTTTGAAATCTTGTGCGAAATCTTGTCGCCAAGATTCCAAAATACCAGAAGAGAGTTGTTTTGGAAAATGTCTGGGCGGTACGACGGTATGAAATATTAGATACCGCCCAAGCCTACTACGGGCTGGGCCCTTCACTGTGCAACAGCCGAAGCCTGCTATGTGCAACAGACTGTGAAAGGTGAAACCTGTAACTTTGTGTCCTACTCTCTTAAGTGAGAAATGATGATGAGAAAACAATATATAACAACACATTTTATTTATTTAGCTACTCACAGGATAGAAATGGCAGCCAACAGGTGGGAGCCCATTCTCAGTTTATCACTTATGATCCCATCGTCACATTCGTCTAGTGACATCATTTCACTAGTTTGCTGCTGATTTCCTTTTATCATTCTGGCTGGCTGGATAAATTCATGGAATCCTGCCCCTAGTGGCAGATCCTTTATTCTATGTTAAATAAGGGCCATTAGGCAAAACAGAAACATGCTTGCTGGATAACTAATACTAGTCTATAGACATTTTTTTAAGATTGAGAGTTAGCTGAAAAGCAGCCCAGTTCCTGCCTCTAGGAGATCATGCATCTTTTCAAACATGGACCCAAAACTTCTCCCGTCACTTGGCTAACTATGTAATGACAGCGCTGTCCTATGTGATGGCTCTGAGGCTAGAGACAGGACTGGAACCAGCTACGGGCGATGGCATCCACTTAACGCCAAAGTTGGCTATGGCTGTTATGTACCCAAGCCAAAGCGAACAGCACATTTGGGCTGTATGACTAACAAGTCTGTACTGAAGTGTCAGACAAAAGTTTTAGTGACCCTCCACCTAGCCTTTGACCTTTTGGGTATAGCTCATCTTCCCAGCCAAACCTCACCATTCCCTGCCCCTTACCTTCTTCCCGCCGATGTAGCCCCCGGCGGCTCCGAAGCTCTTGGTGAATGTTCCCATCAAGATGTCGACATCACGGGGATCCAGACCGAAGTAGTCGATCACACCTCTCCCGTGGGGGCCGAGGGCCCCGATGCTGTGGGCCTCATCCAGATATAGGTAGGCCTTGTACTTCTTCTTCAAGGCGATGACTTCTGGTAGACGCACGATGGAGCCCTCCATGCTGGTGGTGACAAGGGGGTGGGGGTTACATGTGATGGCCAGGCAGCCTGGATGGTACATTACAAAAACGTCACAGACTGGACCCACAGAAGCTGCAGGACATTCAGCTGACATGGGCTAATCAATGCGGTCCAGAGAGTGCTAGAAAACCACATCCACTGCAGCCTCTATAGACATCAACCCCATTCCCATGACACCAGAGAAATAAGCTTCCAGATCCAAAGGCTCCACGTAAGCGTGAAATGAAGAGCATCGGAGCATCATACCAGGAATCATATGTCTACCAGAATAGTCAGTCATAGCAGTAAAGCATGTACCAGCGCAAAAGGAACATTCATTGTGGAGTGAAACTGCAGTGACGAAAAGACACATATCATTCCCAACTAACTTAAAGGAGACAGTGTCCCTGGTTCCAGATTTACATTTACTGCATTTGGCAGATGCCCTTAGCCAGAGTGTCTTACATACGTGCTTAGAAGGTTCATCAGTGAATACTGATACTGGTTCAACAGAACCTGGCTAAGAATACTTTCACCCTAAAAACTCTGTTTGCAAGTAATATGTTTTTTTAATAATGATGAGTATAACCCAGGAAGTGCTAATCCAAGAGGTAGGTTTTCAGTCATCGATTGAAGGCACCCAATGACTCAGCCCTTTGGACATCTAGTAGAAGTTCACTCCACCACAGATTTAACACCATGTGCAGTATGGAGACCTGGGGTGTTTCCTGGTTCCCCCATGGCCCAGCCCCAGCTGCCCTATTCCACAATACCTGTAGATGCCCTCCACCACGATGAGGATCTTCTTCCATGGCCGGTGGGTTCTCGGCTGGCCGTGAACGATAGCGTCCCGCAGCAGCTTCTCCAGGCTCTGCATGTCTGAGATGTGGCTTTCAGTCCTCAGACCCCCAGCACCATCCCAGCCCCGGAGCCTGAGTCGGCATTGCTGTTACAGCAATGTCCCATGTGTCCACTTGACCCATGACCCTGATCTTGTACCAGCTGTCAGTCAAAGTGATCACTGGCGAGCAGTGTGATGGCATATAGAAAATCCGTCCATCAAATCAGGGATACAACCCACATTATATTTAGCTGTTAACACCACTGTATGGAATCCAACCAAACCACTCATGGAGAAGACAGGCAGGGAATACAGGGAGCTTCCCCTCCATTTACTTGTCTTCACGTGACCTTTGATGACAGCTGGCACGTAAAACATGTCTGTAGTGTGCAATATAAACCCAACTCTGGTTTACATAAGGGGACTCGGGAGTCGACGGGGGGCGCCTGTATGACCGCAGGCAGCGGGAGACCAGGGGGGGGGGTGTATGCGG